TCACCTGGCCTCCTCAACAAAGATTTAATTGTGGCAACTTGGGGCCTTTGCAAACATGGGCTTTCCTGAATGTTCTTTTGAAATCTTCACAACTGTGCATCTTTCAGATGAAAAACTGGAAACATATTGAAAGTGACTTGGTGCATTATTGGTGTGGAGACCACTTCTCATTTCTCTTCTCCCCCTTTTTTTGTAAGGGAAGATTGGAATTTTAATTGCTCAGCCATGGTTTTTAATTCATGATGCCCAGAAAGGGCATGGTTTATTAATTAGTCCTGATTATGAGGTGCCCTGAGCCTGGGCCTGGCTGCTTCTTGATCAGTTTCAACAGTTCTTTGCCTGAAATTACTGTCTGTAAGCACATGGCGGTCTAATTATGCAGACACTAGCTGTTCAGTTCTGCCAGGTTAAACCCTGTATTATACATATGACAGTGCCTTAAAAGGCATTTGTTGAAATGCCAGTTTACTAGTTCAGCCTTACAAGATCCAGCTCTCTTATGTTATAGGCAAATAACCTCTTAACTGGATGTTTTCTCCCAGTACATGAAAACGTTGGCTTAAATACACAGACACATACAGACACACAGACACACACAGACACACACACACACACACACACACACACACACACACACACACACACTCATCCAATTAATTTTTTTAAAAGTGAGAGAAACAGTATTGCTTCATGGTTAAAGGTAAGGACTCTGGAGCCAGGCTGCCTCAATTTGACTCATGTGTCTGCCACTTTCCTGCACTCTAACTTGAGTTTATGAGTTACTCTCTCTCTCTCTCTATTGCACAGTCTTTAGTAAAATGGGAATGATTGCAATGTCTGTATCCTAGGGTTGTTGTGAGGTTCAAGTGAGTTAGTACACAACAAACACTTATCGGAGTTCATGAAACCTAGTTCTTGTGTTTTTTACTGATTGCTCCAATACATTTATTTGTGGTTATATCTTATAAAATCTAGTTGTGTTAAGCTGGCACGGTTAGGGATATCTCCCTGTGGCAAAAGCTAAGAATTGTTCCCTAATGTCTGTTCTCTTTTTCTTCCACAGTAATAGCCTCCCCTCCCACCAACTTTTAGCCAGGTTGGCATAGAATTGTCCAGAGTTAAGGGTAAATTTCTTTTCCATGTAGAAGTGGCCATGTGACTAAATTCTGGCTGATAGGTTGTAAGTAGATAGCATGTCAGCTTCTGAAAAGTGACCCTGAAGGAAGGGTAGTGTGTCTTTGACTTTTTCCTTCTTCCTAACGATGGGAATTTGGTCATGATGGCTGGAACCCAAGCAGCCCTCTTGGGTCATTAGATGGCAGGTTAGCAATGTAGAGCAGGAAAGGAGCAGAAGCCTGAGGACCTAAAAACTTCAGGGAGCAGAGTTGCCCTAGCAGCCCTTTTCTTTCACACTAGACTTTCGGTAAAAGCAAACCTCTATATTATTTAATACACTGTAATTTGGGGCACCTACTGCTGTCAGATCTAGTCTTAGGTAACATCTTACCCTCCCTGAATTAGACCACATTCATTATTTTGATTGCAACGTGTAGAAGTTTCAGGACACTAAGGCACAAAGGACCACGGAAAGTTTTCACACACTCTTCATTTCTTATTAGAGGCACTGCTTTACAACGCCCAGGCATGGCTGCAGTGCTTTTACTGTCTGAATGAGGGGACTTAGCCTCAGGCCTCAGTTGGTGATTGGAGAGGGCGCTGCTTGACCGTAGAATTATGCTCATAACTGATGGCCAAATCTTGTAGAAACTACTTGGAATATCCCTCAGAAGGGATAGTCTGACAATTTTGCCACTTCCCTTGGGCCAGCAATTGTGAGCTCTGGACAAATCCAAGACAATTTTCTTTTGCTCTCGTTGCTATACCCAAGAACAAGTTTCTGCACTTCCTGTAAATATCAAAAAGAAGCAGGACTCCTGAACAAAGGAACTTTAAGCAGGATTGTGGTGTTGTTATGGAAGTAGTTCAGTGATCTTAGTGTATCTTGCTTAGGAGCAATGATGATAATCTCTTAGTCTCCTTTATTTCCTTGAAATTGAGTCTTCTTTTCTGGTGGTGCCAGAGATCTCAAGACTCATTTAGGGATTTTGCTGAGCCGTCTTCCCAACACTGGTGAAAAGGAGAGATGACATCTAAAGCTCTCAGAGGAAACATAGGTTCTAAGGAAGAGTGCCTGATTTCATACTTGGCACATCATGAAGAGTATGATCAATGTTCTTCTTCATCCCCCTTCCAAACTGAGGTCCAATTTTCCTTTCCTATGGAATTGTGATAGAAATTATAAATCAGAGTACATTATATAAAAGAAGGACTGCTATTCTTACCTCTACTTTTAAAAGTCCTAGCTAACCCTTTAAGGCCAAGTTCAAATGCCACCTACTCCGTGAAGCATCCCTGGATTCTCACCTCCACAACGCTCACCCCCTACTCCAGCCAGAAGGATAATAATACAATCAAAGTAGAATCTTCAATCTCAGGTGATACTTGAATTTCCCATATATCAATAAGTATAAGTCCACAATATACAAAGCTAAGCAGAGTTCTAGCTTCTGCAAAAGCATTTTAGAAATGGAAATTCAGTACCTTCAAAAGAGAATTTATTTATTCCAGTTTTTAGACAGCTTAATTCGGTCCCACTAAATTTTCTGCATTTGTTTGTAGGTATGTCTGTGCTCCTCTTTAAATACACTGCCCAGAAATAAACAATATTCCTTGAAATACACTGTCCATGAATCACCTTTCTTCATCTGTAACTGCAACCTGTGCTAACGGGTTTGCGGCAACCATGGAGCTGTTTTCTCCCAGTTGCACTTATATTCAGTGAAAATTCTGAAATCTTCTTTTTAAATATGTGTTGGTGCTAAATGACATCTCCTCTGTCTTAAATTCATGTGGCTGGTTTTGATATTTAGTTTGGGTCCTCCAGTATATAGATCCATATTGCACGCATGTGGGTATGTTTGGTCTGCTTATTAAAGTGTTGCAAACCTAACTTGTCACTCAAGCCCCTAGATCCATTTGTCTGATGAATTCTTCCAAGGTCCTTTACTCTTATTATAGCTCATTCTGCTTTATGCCACAGTTTATGTACTTGTTTTATGCGACTGTCTTAGGTGGGGTTCCCTAGAAGCAGAGCCTCTGTCTGGGGAATCGGGCAGCAGCTTTGTAGTCTCCCAGGTTTGACGGCTTCTGATGGTCCAAGAGCAGTTTTCCAGAGCAGGAGAGTAGCTAAGAATTGTTCTCAGCCAACACACAGCAGCTAGGATATAGGTGCCCTAGCTGCTGAAAAGGATCTGCTGGGACACCAACAGCATCCACTACAGTCAGCCATGATTTTGTAACTCTTAAGTATGGAAACCATGTATTGTTTATTCCTGCAGTCTCCATGAACCTGAGTCCAAGTCTTACACAGGGAAGGCACTAGTTTGTGGAATTGAATCACCAGAGATCTGGAGGAAGTGCCCCTTGGTTTGCACCCATTCCAATCCACTGCCATTTGTAATAACAAATACCTCTAAGGGACTTACCATGTAAGTGACAGAGAGAAGGATATGGAAGCTTATATTGCATATTCCAAGAATCCAGTTTCCCTGTCAACTTGAAAGCTGTCTAAGGACCAAATGCTTAAATTTAGAATTGGCAAATACCACCTTAGTAAACATATCAAAGAGCAGAATTTTAGTCTGCTCCATTCAGCTTTTAAACGATTTTGTTTCTTTAAATTTCATAAAGTAATATATGCACGTGGCTAAACATGAGAATGGTATAAAAGAGTAATAAATGAATAGTAATGGTCTATTTTTCCATCGTCTTGACTTGCAGTTCCACTCCTAGAGCTAACTACCATTAACATTTTCTTGGATTTCTATCCAGAAATAGTTGTAGCTATATGAGGATAAATATCTATGATTTTATACACAAAATGAGTACAGTATATGCACTGTTCTCTAAAGTTTTTTTAGACTGTTAATAGATCTTACAGGTTTTTCTACATCAACGCCTCTATAGCTATCTCATTTTTTTTAATGAATGTGTAGACGTCTTACAATTTATTTAACCTGTCCTCTTTCTTTTTAGTGGACATTTAGGTTGTTTCTAGTTTTCGGTTCATACAAGTAATATTTTTGCCATCACAGATTTTTACCATTACAAAATAAGTGTTCTTCTGTGTATTTCTTTGCATATATGTTCTTTTTTAAAAATTTAAAAAAATTTTATTTTTGGCTGTGTTGGGTCTTCGTTGCTGTGCACAGGCTTTTCTCTAGTTGCAGAAAGCAGGGGCTACTATTCATTGCCGTGCGCGGGCTTCTCATTGTGGTGGTGGAGCATGGGCTCTAGATGCGCGGGCTTCAGTAGTTGTGTCATGCGGGCTCAGTAGTTGTGGCTCGAGGGCTCTAGAGCGCAGGCTTGGTAGTCGTGGCGCACGGGCATAGCTGCTCTGTGGCATGTGGGATCTTCCCAGACTGGGGATCGAACCTGTGTCCCCTGCATTGGCAGGCGATTCTTAACCACTAAGCCACCAGGGAAGTCCCTGCATATATGTTCTTAATACTGTTAAATTGAGAAGCCTGTCCCAGCGTCTCAACAGAATAATGGAGACGTGGATAGTCAATGTGGCCACCAGATTCCCTACATCTATACTGAATAACTGTGTGTCTTTTAGCCTAAGATATGCTTTCTCACTCTCTGCCCATTTGTTTTTCAGCCTCTTTCCCAGAATGCACCTCATAATCAGAAAAGATAGAAATTGTCATAATTGAAAAAAGTTGAGAGTAATTCTCAAGTTCAGGTTATCATGATGGCAAGTTCTAAAAACCACGTTGGTACCTAATTTAAGGAATAGAAATTCTGAATCTTGTTCAGATTTTAAGAGTCTCTGTTTGAGAGCTTATCTAGTACAAGTTTCAAAAATGCCATCAGACTTTCCAGAAATTCAGCCCTGATGTACTGAAAAGTGCTTACTGTTGTCTTTTTGCTTGCAGTGAAGTATATGAGGGAAGCCACACCCTACGTGAAGAAAGGCTCCCCAGTATCCGAGATTGGGTGGGAAACGCCTCCACCAGAATCCCCTCGGTTAGGCGGCGGGTCCTCAGATCCTCTGTCATCGCAGTCCTCCTCCTTCCATAGAGACCGGAAAAGCATCCCTCTCAAGATGTGCTTCGTCACTCGGAGCATGGCCTTGGCTGACCCTGAGAACAGGTAAAGACGGCTAACGCCCTCCTCCATATCTCGCTGCTCTTTGGTCTCTGCGGTTGAAAGAGAGCTTTTATCAGGCTGTACTTGTGTTCTGGAAACACTGGACGGTTTCCAAAGAATAGCCTGAAAGGACCCCGATGCAGGAATGTATATGTCAAGCTAGGCCTCCCTCTCTTTCTTCCTCCATCCTTCTTTTTCTTCCTTTTATCCTCATGAAGAATCTGTATACTAAGCTCTGGTTCTGGAAAAAGTTGAATCAATGGAGTCAGGATCTTATGTGTCTTCCCTGGGTCTGCCTCTGCCAGTATATGTGACTTTGGGCAAGTCTCTCGGAGCACTGAACCTCGGTTTTGTCGTATGTAAAATGGAAATAGTTGAAATCAATGCCTCATTGAGTTGTGAAGATTAAATGAGGAAATCCATATGAACTGCTTAGCCCAGGAAAACCTTCCATGAATATAAGCTATAATACTATGTATTATTCCTACTGGTTTTTTTTTTTTTTTTTGGCTGCACCATGCAGCATATGGGATCTTAGTTCCCTGACCAGGGCTCGAACCCCTGCCCCCTGCATTGGAAGCACAGAGTCTTAACCACTTGGACTACCAGGGAAGTCCCCAGTACTATGTATTATTGATGTTAGGTAACAATAAGGAACTAGGCCTCTCTGGGCCTCGGTGTTCTCAACTGTGTACTTGGGGGGTTTGATGAGAGCATCCTTAACACTTTTCGGCTCTGACGCTCTCTTTATCCTCAAGAGAGAAAAAGGAGTGGCCTCGATCCAAGCCTGGAGTGCTATTTCCCAAAGCCTATACGTGACATCTTTGCCAGAGGATAGACATATAACCTAATCCATGGCAATTAGAAGGAATCCAGGCAAGATGAGCAAGTATTTGGGGTCCCTCTTCCCCCAAAAGTTTTCCTTTATCTCTGCTGACAGAAAACATACATCTGGAAGGAAAATAAAAGACGTGTAGAGAAGAGAGAGAGAAATTGAGCCAGTGAGGGGGGAATGGTGGTGACCTTTGCATCCTCATTCAAATGCTAAAAAAAGAAAAAGCTCTACTGGCCCTTATTTACAAATGAGTGGGACAGCTGCAACCCCACCCCAACCCAAGAGGAAGTATTTGGCTGGGTTCCCGAGCTGCTGATGGGGAAAACCCAAAGGAAATAAGAGCAGGGAGAAAGTTGCCTCCTTGGCTCACAGCTCAGTGCTTTTTTTGTTCTCTTCCCAGTAAACTTATGCTAAGGAAGCTGCTAGCTCTTCTGACCCCAGTCAGCTGCAGGGTCTACCCCGCTCCCCGCCCGTCTCCTAGGTCAGTTCTATCTGCATAGGGATCAGAGATCAGCCATTATATGAGCGAGCCAGTGGGTATCAGCAAAAGATGAATCTGAGAAGGCAGACTGGGAAGGAGGCAGAATTCTTAGATGGTCCATTCCCACCTGTTCTCTCTTTTGCTTCCCCTCCCCTCAATTTCTACCACTTTCCTGGGCCTACAGTTACATCCTGGTTCCCGAGTTTCCTCTTCCCTGAGCTTTTACCCACTCAGTCAAACAAGTCCTTTCTCCCAAGAGTCTGAGGTCTAAGGTTTCAGATCTGATGAATTCATAATTTATCCAGTGGCTGTCTTGTGCTGGGCAGCATGCTAATTACTTCAACCCAGAGACTGCAAAGTGGCAGCCTTTAGGTGTCCCCAGCCCACAGATATGTGTTTTTAGTGGTCTATCTAGGGTTGCAAAGAAATTTGAATTAGTTGCCACATTGAATAGTCAGAAAATTTCACATCAAAAAGGCAGATTTCTGGACTTCCCCGGTTGTCCAGTGGTTAAGACTCTGTGCTTCCACCGCACAGAGGGGGCACAGTTTCGATTCCTGGTCTGGGAACTAAGATCCCGCATGCTGCATGGTGCACCCCCCAAAAAAAAGAAAAAAAAAAAAAGGTTTCTGCAACTTTCATATGGGCTATAAGAAATTACTTTATTAAAAAAAAAAGCCAGATTTCTACTTTTCTAGAAAAATAAGAAGATCTAATGATATCATTAGGCCTCTATTGCCGTAGGCAGGCCTCCCATCTATAGGAGCCCAGTAGAGTCTTATCCTTTGAAAAGGGAATGAACTCTCCTAGTCACTCCTTTTGCCTTACACATAGGGGATTCAGTTAATTACCTGCCTGGGTCTTCACATTTCCTGCCTTGTCCTTGAATTTGTAATCATGTTTAGTCCTCTGAGTTTCTAACATCATCCCCACTCTACAGAAAAAATAACTGAGGCTCAGGGCTTACATAAGTTCCTATGGTCATATAGTTAATGTATGATACAACTGGTCTTTAATGTCATGGCTATAGAATGGGTGACAGTGTCAGTTTTACCATTCCCAGAAAAATACAGAGACTAGAAAACTCGGGATATTGTAGAAGTGGTCAGTACATTAGGGAGAGAGTTTGAGTAGATGATTTCTAGGGTTCCTTTCAACGGTGGACTTCCATGCTATCATATTTCTCCCAATCATTTAATTGCATTGTAAAGAATATTTGGGGAGATATCAGGCCTTAGTTCAAATATTGGAAGCTTCATTTTGTCAAGCCAGTAGAGAGGATGCATTTAAAAAAAATTTATATTATTGAAGTATTGATTTACAATGTTGTGTTAATTTCTACTACACAGCAAAGTGACTCAGTTATACATATATATACATTCTTTTTCATATTCTTTTCCGTTATGGTTTATCACAAGATACTGAATATAGTTCCCATTTTTAAACTTTTATATCGGTGCTTTTCAAGTTGACCATTGATAAGTATATGTAGGGCCTCCTAGGTGGTAAGGGAAAGCCTGTCCTGCTGGGGTGTGAGAACCAGGAGGGCAAGACTGAAAAAGAGAATCCAGCTAAGCCAGAGGGTCCAGGAGGGGATTTTGGTCCAAACAGATACAAAACTGCTGACAGTAAATTAACCTTTCACAATGTGTCCGTGTATCAAATCACCATGATGTGAACTTTAAATATCTTACAATTTTGTCAGTTATACCTCATTAAAACTGAAAAAAAGAAAAAAAACCCAAAAGACTAGGGGTTTAATTGAGTCTTGACCCTGGTTGAATAAAAGAAGAAAAGAAAAAAGAAACATATTTTATGGAACTCCAGTCACATGCCAGGCAGAGTATAATGTACCAGTCAGAAATATGGACTCTGCAAAATTCAACTCTGTGCTGAGTATGAGACACACCTAACACAAAGTGATTTTAAAAGGCCAAAAATATAGGCTGTGCAGATTGTATAAGGCAAATGCAAACTAACAGCAAAAACAAAAAGCATCAATTTTGATCTTGATATATGACAGGGTAAAGTGCAGACTGAAAAGCACAGATCAAGGCAAAGAAGAACTGGTTTATGTTAAAGGCCAGAGTTCACAGGGAACAGAATTCAGCAGTTATGAAGGCACATCAAGTAACAGCAGCAACCTTTACAGCAAAATATGCAGAAAATGCAAGAAGAAATAGAAGCATACTAAAATTAGGTAGTTCAATACTACTCTCAATCCAAGACAAGGCAATTGGACAAAAGATAAACAAAGATACAAAAGACCCAACTGACATAATTAAGGGATGTCTGGACACATCACAGTCTTTGTACCCTGATAATAAAGAGTACACTTTTTTTTTCTAATCTACATAGAACATTCACAGAATTAACCATAGATTGTCACAAAAAAATGCAGTAAGTTCCATAAGGTAGAAATAATACAAACAACATCCTCTGATGATTGTGGAATAAAACTAGAAAATCAATAACAAAACCAAAGCACAGAAAGCCTTTCTTCATGGAGTTTTAAAAGCTCTCTCTGAAATAAATAACTCTTGGGTCAAAAGGGAAATAGAAATTGAAAGTAGCATTTTTAAAAATAATGAAAATTAGGCAAATATTAAATATAAAAGGGAAAGAAGTTGAAAGGGAGAGTGTTGCTTCTGGTGTCAGCTAGATCTACGGTGGAATCTTAGCTCCACCACTTATGTGTGAATTTAAGCAAGTATCTCATTTAATCCTGATAACAACCCTAGGTCATAAGTACTCTAATCTCTATTTTATGGACAACGAAACTTCGTTCAGAAACAAGAGTTGAAGCCAATGGGAAATCTGAGATTCAGACCCAGGCCTGGCTGGCACCAAGCTCAGTTTCTTAAACATGACACCCCATTGCTTCCGATTTTAGTGCCTGGCAGAACAGCTCACCTGAACTGTGAGCACCATGGCCAGGAATTAACGGTCTCCTGGATGCTAAAACCTCAGCATCTCGGGGCTAATCCCCTCGGTGGTGACACACAGCTACTCATAGTTTGCATTAAAAGCTCGAATGTTCGGGCTTCCCTGGTGGCGCAGAGGTTGAGAGTCCGCCTGCCAATGCAGGGGACACGGGTTCGTGCCCAGGTCTGGGAGGATCCCACATGCCGCGGAGCAGCTGGGCCCGTGAGCCATGGCCGCTGAGCCTGCGCGTGTGGAGCCTGCGCGTGTGGAGCCTGTGCTCCGCAACGGGAGAGGCCACAACGGTGAGAGGCCCACGTACCGCAAAAAAAATAAATAAATAAAACTCTAATGTTCAATTTCTCAAATTGAAACAGCCATAGAACAGCAGGTAGCATTGCTGCTCTTTGTGTAAAAAAGGTCACCCAGCAGGCACTGAATACACAAGAATATGTCACTGCTAGTGCTGGTTGTCAATGATTACAATAGTTCTTTTGCCACCTCGTAAATATCTCCTGTGTTTCACAGTCAGCTCTTTGCCATCACGGCCACTGCCCTAGTCCAGGCCCAGACTATCCCAAGTCCTCTAGACTATTGGGACATATTTTCTACTGGATGCTTCCAAGGTTCGAGTTTGCCCCTCCCCCATCCCCTAGCATCCACCCTACTCTCAGCTAGTTAAGGGAGTGTGAAACACTCAAAATTTATCCATTTGGTCAACGTGGCTTCCGTCACCTTCACTAATCATGAAACTCCTCAGTATTG